CCACTAAGCTCCACCTCCTAAAGGTTGAGGAGATGGGGACCCACCATTATAGGTTTTGGGGACATTCACAATCCTAGCTATATCTCTGTGTTACAGGGTAGAACAGTGAACAGGACACATGTTGCTCCTGCCTTCAGGGAGCTTATAGTTGAGTGAAGGATATGGACAGTTAAAATACTGTGTGATGAGAGATGGAGTTTTCTGAAATTTTACGAGAAAATATCACTCATGTGAGCTCAAAGGATAATTATTCTTACCTCCAACACCTGGTATTTTGAAGTATAGTTAGAAAGAAGTAATGTGTATATTGGAAGAAACACTATCTAAAGGGTCAGGAAAGCCAAGTTTTGTTCTTTCCTTTGTGTCTTTGTGATAGTTCTAGTTTCAACTTTCTTATTTATAAAACAGGAATGATAATACTTGTCCTGCTAATGCATAGGATTATTACAGGGAATGCATGAGCTAATGTACACAAAAGCACTGTGAACATTATCGAATGTTTCACTTTCTCATGTCACGTGGATTGTATCTCACTACCAGTCATCAATAACTCACTCATGCACTCACTCATCATCAAGTATCTGTTCAGCACCAGCTCTGTTAAAGGGCCTGTATTAGACCCTTGGTTGAGTCCTATCCTGTTCCATTGTTCCTTTCAAAGTATCTTGCTTTATTTAACGGTAACTTTCATATTATAATGGGTAGTGAGAGGAAACCTGTACCTATTGATCCCCAATTTCAATCTAAAGTTTCACCCCACTTCTGTAATCCTCTCAGACAGGTGGATGAAAGTGCAGGAAGAACATGGGTAAGAAGATGTTGGCTTAAAAATTTATTTTGTGCTTAGGTTAGTTTAGTTTAATGTCTAGAAGAAAAACCAATTTTGTCTTGTGGAGTTATTTCCAAATTGTTTATAATTACTTTAAAAATTCATATTGCTCATTTGAATGGCTAAGAGGTAACCACCAGATGAAATCATTTACATCAACATAGGTAAAGATTCTATAGCACTGTGTACATCTGGTGTTAACATGAAAGAAGTGGTTTTCATTTAAGTTTTAAATATCTTAGACCTGGTAAGCACAAGGTCGTGAGTTCAGTTCCCTGTACCAGAGAAAAACCAAAAAAAAAAAAAAAACCAAAAAAATAAATAAATAAATATCTTAGAGACAAAAGGGAGCCTTTTTAAATAGATGAAATAGAATTCACTAAAAATCTAAAAGAGCAAAGTATGATCCCAAATAATTTCCAACTTCTGGAACTTCAATTTTTTAATTTTTCATTGTGAGACACTTTATAAACACTCAGATGTTTGAACAATATGCAGTATTCAGCATAAAAAATTTTGTAATACAACTGCTAGCAAAGAGGGTTGGTATCAGTTGTTCCTCTAGAATATGCCAGTGGTGTCCTTTAATCTCCACAAGTAACATGGTGTCTTAGCCCAGATATTCCCAATTTAAAGGAGCAGAGGTTTATTGAAGCTCATGGTTCCAGTTGCTCCAAGGCAGAACTAGAATGGCGGGAGGGCCTCACAGAGGGAGAGCGGCTCACCTCATGGCCCCCAGGAAGCAGAGAGAGAAGGAAGGAGCCAGGGAAGGAGCTCTCCCTTCTAGGTTATGCCCCAGAGAGCTATCTCAGACCAGGGCCCGCTCCTAACAGCACACTCAGATGTGAATTCATAGTGAATTAATCCACCAGCAAGCACAGTGCCCATGACTCAGTCACCTGTCAAACAGAGGAAGCTTTAGTGGGGACAATTTAGGTCTAAACTGTAACAGACTGTTATTCTGACATGCTTTCAGAGTTTATTTTGGGTTTTGTTTTTTGTTTTTTGTTTTTGTTTTGCTTCATGGTGAGCTGGGTATAGTGGTATAGACCTGTTATCCTAGTGCTCTGGGAGGCTGAGGCAGGAGGATCACAAATTCCAGCCCAGCCTGAGCAACTTAGTAACTTAGGAAGACATTGCCTGAAAATAAAAATAAGAAAGGGCTGGGGATGTAGCTCAGCGTAGAGGCCCTGGATTTAATCCCCAGCATCAGAGCTGCAAGGTTAAAATTGAAATGGCAGGGCCTGTTTCATTGAGCCTCTTTCAGCAACGTTAGACTAATAGACATACCCCCAGCCTGTGATTGTATTTCCAAGTGGGGCAGCAGATGTGAAGTATGTTTAACTTGAAACCAAGGGTGTGACCTGGGCCAGCACATCACCCTCAGGCTCAGCGGCGACCATGGAGCCTCTCTCCAGCGGTTTTCTTTGCAACATCATTCCGTTGCTGTGGTGAGCAGGCACTGGCAGTAGGGAGCGTCTCGCGGGAGCTTCAGGTGGGCGCAGGTCTTCCTTCGCTGGGTCCTGAACAGCGCTACTGTGGGCTCCAGCTACATGTCGTCCTCCCCCACATGCAATCATTTGCCATCCCTGCTGAGCTTACCCATGTGTTTTATTTCTGCGAGGCACAACAGTGTTGTGGGTTTTTTGTTTGGTGTGGTTCAGTTTGAGTCTGGGTTTTTTTGCTCATGTATTTTCCCATGCTTTCGGCATTTTCTCGTTATTTCCAGAAGGAAAGGGTACCTTTTGGATGAGGCACCCCCTTACTTAACGTTCTGTGTTCTCCATTCCGTCCCTTCTGTCAGTCTCTGAGCAGAATAAGCTTTGTCTTTAGCAACATAAAGCTCAAAGGAAGGCGGTCTGAGGCAGTGTCTGTCCTCTCTGGAGCAGGACACAAGTCAGTGCTCATCTACTCTGCTGGGGTCTTCTCGGCCCCCCACCCCTCCCTCCAGTATCTTCCCCCCCACTTGCTCTCAAAGCCACGGTGCATGGTCCACGTGAGCCAGGAGCTACCACAGCCCGGGCTGTCCCTACAGGGTCACTTCCTTCATGTTCCTGCCCGAGGAGGAAGGCTCTTACTTTTTAATTGTGCTGCTTTAATCAGTTCTCAGTTTCTCATCTTGCCCAGTTCTGTGCTTTTATCATGTGTTCTGATAAGTTCTCTTTGAATTTTATTTACTTACTTACTCATTTTGTTTTTTTGAGATGGGGGGTCTCACTGTGTAGTCCAGCCAGGCTGGCCTGGAACTCACAGCAGTTCTCCTGCCTCAGCCTCCCCAGTTCTGGAGTTATAGGTGTGTGTCACCACATCCAGCCAAGTTTTTATTCTTAAGGGGCCTTAGACTGACCCCTACTCTCTTTTAAAAAGTACTTATAAATGGGATATAGTAGAATTATCTGTGGTTCATCAATTTTGCAGTACCTGTTGTCCAGCTGTTATTTAGACATCCAGATGAAAGCCAGGCGTGGTGGCACATGCCTGTAATCCCAGCACTCAGGAGGCTGAAGCAGGAGGATCGATGCGAGTTCAAGGCCAGCCTGGGCTACAAAGTGAGCTCAGGGCCAGCCTGAACTAAAGAGTAAGACCCTGTCTCAAAAGAAGACAAAAAAAAAAAAAAAAATAGACATCCAGATGAATGACCAAAAATGAATACCACGTTAACCACAAGTAGATACCTCTTAAAGAGCCACCCACCCCTTTCCCTGTCCTCTATTACCACATAGGTACAATTCGTACATTGGTACTTTTTTTTGAGATACAGTCTCCTTATATCACCTAGGCTACCCTTGATTTAACCCATGGGCTCAAGTGATCCTCCTGCTTCAGCTTTCTGGTAAGGCTGGGACTGCAGGCTCACCCCACCATGCCCTGCTCCAACACACCATTTTGAAAGCATATTCACTATGTTTCATGCATGTTGTAAAGTTTCTATGTGGGTCAAGTATAAAAAATGCTGTGTCCTGATAAACCCGAAAGAAAGTGGCACGGTGTCCTCCCAGAGTGGAAGGTGCTCTTCTGAGGATCTGGATGTCACGGTTTTGGCTCATGGGCACATCTGAGACCCAGCAGCGGTGAGGAAACAGGACAGGCATCATGCCTTCCATAACACGACACTCCGGGGTGCTGGAAAGAACCGTGCAGGTCTGGGGAGAACCGGGTTATCGAAGATTGTTCTGCTCCACGATTCTGTTACTGAGCTTGTTCTGCTGTTGCGTTCGCTGCGGCACCAATTTCACTTTCTAAACTGAGAAACTGTTGCGGGAGAGGTTCAACCTCAGCCACCTTCGCTGTACCCTTAGTGCTGGGAAAGATTTACAACTGTAACCTCCTGCAGGTCACTTTTGAACAAAATTTATTCTGCTCAAAACATACTAATATTTATGCATTCCTATTACGTTATAAGAACGAAAGCAGATAGCTGTTAACGTGGACATGCTGCTGCTTTTTTTCCCCTGCCTCCTCTCAACGACAAGTCCAGTGGGACTGAGACTATTTCCTAATATTAATTTCCTTCTGTCTTTGTTACTTATTTAATCTAGAAAACATCCTTTTAGGATTTTTTGAAACATAATTCCAGGAAGAATACACAGCCAATGAGATCCTGAGCTTTAGAAAAGTATGCTTCAGTAGATCCAGCTTATGAAAATCAGCTGCACTTTTACAGTATCTGTGGCCTGAGCATTTGTTTAAATGCTGTAAAAGTCAGGCGCCCAGCTTTCTTCTGAGAGCTGCTAAGTAGGAGCTTGGGATTTTGGCAAAACTCGAAAATAAGGCCCCTCGGTTCTTCTAGCTACGTAATTAGAATATTAGTTCTTCTTATCATATTTTTGTGGAATCTGAGTATATTTTAACCATGTTACAGTCTTTGCAAAACCACTTTTTTAGGCAAATGCCAATCTGAGTATATTTTGGCATTTGCCTAAAAAGTATTTTTGCATAGACTTTAGTGATCTACCTATTAAGTCATGTGGGGGAAGGATTCTCCTGCTTTAAGTATAATTGCAAAGTAGTGCAGGGGCTGGGGGTGCAGCTCAGAAGTAGAGACCCTGGGCTAGATCCCTAACACTGAAAAAAAAATCATTCTCAGGTTACCTATGGAAACTTGAATTATTCTTTTGCTGAAACTGAGAAATCTAATTCTCTAGTGCTTAATTTCTTAATTTATTTTTAGGTACCAAAGGAAGAAATAAAGGAGAGTTTACAAATCTTCAGGGTGTAGCTGCATCTACAAGTGGAAAGATATTAATTGCAGACAGTAACAACCAGTGTGTGCAGGTAGATCCCTTCCATTCCTACCTTTATCTGTTTGTGCTGATCAAATAGATGCAGTTGCATGTTTTCCTACTTTAGATCTAAGGTACATGGTGCAAGCAAAGAAGTTTATAATTGTGTATGGAGACTCCTCTTTCACGGAGTTGGCATGTTTTGCACTCTGGTACAAGTGATAGGTGTTGCCTGTTTCCGCCTTGGTCATTTCAGTGCTGTGTTCACACTCCAATTATGTGCATTTGCTTCGCAGATATTTTCCAATGACGGCCAGTTCAAAAGCCGTTTCGGCATCCGAGGGCGCTCTCCCGGGCAGCTCCAGCGGCCCACAGGAGTTGCTGTGCACCCGAGTGGGGACATAATCATTGCAGACTACGACAACAAGTGGGTTAGCATTTTCTCTTCAGATGGGAAGTTTAAGGTAAGTTTAACTACCAGGTGACCACTAAATGAGAAAGAGAAGGAATAAGAAACATGGGATGAAGTTATGCTGATTTTTGAAATCTAATCCAATATTCAGCAATATACAGACATTGACATCCGAGTCTTCCGATGGGAGAGTAACAGCGATGATTTTATAAACCTGCTCATGTAGACCCTAAAAGTGACTTCATTTCTTTTCTTTTGGGTATAGGAATTGAGCTCAGAACCTTGTGCTTGCCAGGCAGGTGCTGTCCTGCTGAGCTCAAGTGGCTTCATTTTACAAAGCAGTTTGTTTGCTCAGTTGCTTTGTTGTTGTTGTTGTTTTTCTTTAAACCATCAAATTTAAACAAAAACTGTTCTTCTTACCTCAGTTCAGTGCAAAACAACCACCTTTTATAAGGGGTATGAAGAACCCATAGGCTGTCACTTACAAAGTGCCTTCTACCTTCTCAGGTGGGGATGGGTGACCACAGAGAAACCAGATTAGAAGACATGGTTCCCAACTTTTAAAATGTACAGACTCCTGGAGGAAAAAAGAGTAGTACACAAGAAAGGACAGATAACAATTTCTGCCAGTCAAAAATTGCTTGGTATGACCTAAAGCACAACACTAAAGAACAGAGAAGGTTGGGAGGGGGTTGGGGAGGAAAAAACCACAAAGGTGCATGTTGAGGGGCACTTGGAGGGACCCTATCACTTGATCAGTTTGCTGTACCCCGGCATCTTTATGGAAATAGAAGAATGGCATCTGTGTTAGTCAGCTTTCCCAAGCTGCAACAACCTGGGAGGAGGAAAGACTTATTTTGCCTTACGGTTTTAGAGGCTTCAGTCCATGGTCCCTCGGCCCTGATGGGTTGGGCCTGCGATGAGGCAGTGCAGCATGGTGGACTATATGATGGAAGAAACTACGCACCTCATGGCAGCCGGGAAGCAGGGGAAAAGAGAGAGAGGGAAAGAGGACAGGGTCCCAGGACCCTGGGAGTCAAGAGCAGCTCCCACTGTACTCCACCTCCACCCACTCCCAATGGGTTTATGGGCCGATAACCAGTGCTCTAATTCCTGGCCTGACAGCTTCTGTTTCTTCAGCAGTTCTCAGCTCAAAAAGCCCACTGGAGAGCCCAGCGGTGATGCCAAGCCTCCAGTTGTCATCAATGAATTGTTACCATCCAGCCCCATTTTGTGCCCTTGTTCACAGGGTGATAGCTTGCCAGGCATCTTTTCTGCAGGCATGTGTACCATGCCGTCTGCATCCCCCTCAGTTTCAGCTTCATGTTTCGGCTTGAACTTTAACCAGACCAAGCAACTCACTGGAAACTTTGTGGCTTATGAACTGGTTAGCCTTTGGCCAATTATGTAATTTCCTTGAACCTTGATAGCCTAATATTTAAAATTTGAATTTTAAAAATCTGTCTCATGGGATTTGAGTAAAGACTAAATGAGGTTTTATTCTGGCTTCCGTATGTACCTCATACAAAATAAATATCTAAGAAGTGTTATTTTTGATGCCTGTCATAAGCACTTAAAAAGTGAAGTCTTGGCCTGGCGTGGTGGCGTGTGCCTGTAATCTCAGCACTTGGGAGCCTAAGTCAGGAGGATCTTTGTGAGTTCAAGACCAGCCTGGGATACAAAGTGAGCTCAAGGCCAGCCTGAACTGCATAGCAAGACCCTGTTGGAAAAAGAAAAAAAGAGAAGTTAAAAAGTAATGTCTGTTTGATGAGTTGGGATTTGAGATTCGTAACTTCATGCAGGCTCCTGGTGGTCATCATTTCCACATCCTGGAATCCTAAAGATGGCATGATTGGTCTCTGATTGAAATGATTGACATTTTCCTTGTTAAAGTCTTTGGACTTCTATGGTCCCCTCATAGTTTTTATGCGATAAGTTACTTATATAGTTATTAACCCACAAATTAGAGCATGTATGGGGCAGTAACTTTTTAACCTGGGAGGGTAAAAGGTTGTCATTTTTAATACTATAATATTGTGTGCAGTTCTTCAGTGGCCCTTGAACTTTTTGTTCCACAGAAATTGACAGGTCCATAAACAGTATGGGTCACGTGTGCATAAGGGTCTATTTCCTTTCAGCATCTCTAACTTCCTTCCTTTCCTTTGAGCATTTGTAGTTTTACCCAAATGTGACAGCTCTAGTGGGAAGGCAGTCAGAAGTTTTCAGTGATCTCTTGAAAGTGCTCATCTAGTTCGGAGGCAGCCCATTTGTTCTTAAAATCATGATCTGTCCTTCAGGAGGTAACACTGACATAGGTTCCACGTACCAAGGCAAGAGTCTGACATCTAAGAGAGAAATCTAAGGACTCCTTGAGTTAAAGAGTTTTACACTCTCTGGTTCAGTAGTCTTGTCTGTAATAGATCCTCTTTGAAGAACTTGATTCCTGGGGTTAGAATACTGTTGCTAATGACTGGAATGAACACTGAAGAACACTGACACCCCCTGGAGGACGGGGAGAAAGGGTGTGGCATGGTTTCAGCAACACCCTTTTTTAGGATAGGTGTTGATCAGAACCCAAACGGTAAAAGGATAGCAAGTGAAAACACTCCATACGTAGAGAGAGTTCCTCTAAGTGTTGATATCATAACTATATACCAGGAGAGTCTTGTCTTATTTTTCTGCTTTGGTGGCACTCAGTAAAATTAAACAGGTGCTAAGAAATGCATACTGTTAAAGGTGATCCAGGTTCTTTGCTTTTAATCCAACTCATCCAATTTCATTGCTCTCTGACTCCTTTAATTTTTCTCCTTTCACTCTCCCCTCCTAGCTTGCATCTTCTAGCCATTCTGGGAAACTTTTGTGATCAGAACAAATACAGAACAAACATGGTAGCCCCCCTCCCCGCTGTGCTCTAAAACATCTCTCTGTTCAGAGTCAAGGACCTATTTGTTCAGTTAAATACTCTCGTTTAACTGTTCCAGAGACAGGGTCTAAAATAGTTTTGCTTGCTATTTTCAATGGGGGTCACACAGTCAGTCCAAATGCAGTGATTGTCCTTTCACTTGGTAGCGCCTGGTACTGTACACCCCAAGCAGGAGTGATAGGTGGGAGCGGGAAGGAAAAGAAACCTTGGTTCAACATGTAAGACGTTCTTTTAGATCTGCCCTAGTTGCGCTCACATAATAGAATGGAGGTAAGCCTTTTCTTTTTCTTTTTTTTGATTCTAGATAATTATCCATTTGGTATTGCATGGTTGAGTCATCCTAAGTAGTAACTACTAGTTTTCGTAATATTAGGTAGTAATAAGCAGAGTACCAGTAATTCTTTTGATCTCCATGCACATGAAAGATTATTTGCCAGTTCTTAGCTGGGTGTGGTGGTGCACGCCTGTAATCCCAGCACTTGGGAAACTGAGGTAGGAGGATTGCCGCCAGTTCAAAGCTAGCCTGGGCACCATAGCAAGACCCCGTCTCAAACAATTAAAAAAGAGTATCTGTCGCCTGTTTACCTGCCATTATGTTGTAGCCCCTTCGATGTTTAGGCTAGGTTGCAGCACCAGAATCGAATTTATACAACAGATTTCCTTGCCACAAAGGCCAGTGTTTCCTTTCAAGGTCATTTGTGTCCCTCTGCTCTGAAGAAATCAAATCTGAATCTCAGTAATTGACAACCATAGAACGAAGCATGGAGCTTCCTGTCTGAAGGGCTTTAAACTTGGCGTCTATACTCAGTCTCTGTGCTTGTTTCTAACAGACAAAAATTGGATCAGGAAAGCTGATGGGGCCCAAAGGAGTCTCTGTGGACCGCAACGGGCACATAATTGTGGTGGACAACAAGGCCTGCTGCGTGTTCATCTTCCAGCCCAATGGGAAAATCGTCACCAAGTTCGGTAGCCGAGGAAATGGGGACAGGCAGTTTGCAGGTACACTCGATGGTAATATGTAAACCCCCTTTTTTATGCTTCCTCTGCTCACGGGTGCATGAGGCCGGAGCATGCTGAAGACGCCAGTCCCCCACGCTGGCTGGCCCTGGAAGGAAGGATGCTGGGATGGCATCTCAGCAAAAGCATGGCTAGGCAGATGCTTCTCAGCTTCTCTGCTGGCAGTAAGTCAAACTGCGCAATAAAAACTGTGGTTTTTATTGGTGATAACTTAACAGCACTCAATGCGTATTAAGTAAAATATGCATTTTTTAAATAAAAAGGTTTGAGGAAAAATGGAGTAACTTCTGTTTCCCAGAGCAGCAGAGTTATTGACATGGAAATGCATTTCACCTTTCTGGGTTATTATGGGAACAGGAGTTCAGAATACATGCAGGGTGGGCCTTCTCCTTCTCTGCTTCTCTTTTTGGAGCGCCACTTTGCACTCACAGGCTTACAGCAGTTTCCACATCTGCAAGAAAAGGCTGCACACGGGTCATTAATTTTCTTCTTGTGATGATGCTTTGGGTGTTTAACATTAATTTGCATTCATTTCTTTATGCTTTGCCTTCAGTTCTTTGTTCTGCCAGGTCCTAAATGTCACCTGAAATGACAGAGCATGGGTTTTCTGCTCAACTTTTTAGAAAAAAAAATTACATATTGGAGGCTCTTTCCCAATGCTAAGAGTTGCCACATCTTTCCTCAGTAGAAGCTGAGAATCCTTGAGAAGACTAATGTATACTCAAAGGAACTGGCAGGTGTGACTTTCAGACCGTAGTGCAGACAACCAATTCTGGTGCCTTCCTGCTCTTTCCACACCATCAGGGCAGCTCAGAATCCAGCTTGGGAAAAGTCAGAAGAGACAGTCCCTAGCGTAGAATAGGCAGGATCCAAGTTTTCTGGGGCCAGAGGTCAGGCCGAATGATATGCCAAGGATCAGGTCTCTGGTTCTTTGTTAGTTCTTAAATAATTAACATATAATTAACATATTAAGTTATTAATATATTAAGTTTGGCTTTTGTTACAGTACTTGCTATGTTATGATCATTTTTATTGTTATAGTCATCACATATGTTTTTTCCATCTTTATTGCAGGTCCCCATTTTGCAGCCGTAAATAGCAACAATGAGATTATTGTTACAGATTTCCATAATCACTCTGTCAAGGTACAGTTTATTACACACTAGTTGTTGCTAACTTTTAATTCTTTTATGGAGAAATTAGTGTGGGAGAAAATAACTTGCATAGTTATACAGGACTTAAGGGAGTTAAGCCAAAAGAGTCGATTTTGCTTCTGCTTTAATTTTTTTTGTTGTTGTTGTTTTTGTTTTTCTCCGGTACCAGGAACCGAACTCACGACCTTGCGCTTGCCAGGCAGGCACTTTGCCGCTGAGCTAAATTCCCAGCCCTGCTTCTGCTTTAAAATGCAGGTGTTAGTATGGCCATACAGACTTCAAAGAGGCAGAGAACTGAGTAGAATACATGACCCTAAGTTTCTAAATTAGAAACTGGTATGATTGAAGATGGCTTAAAAATTAAATTTTAAAAACCGATGGCTTAAATGTAGCGGCAGATTTTTCAGAAGCTTAATACTGTTTTCTGTGGCTGTTCAACAGATTAAACCAAAACCACTCTTTCAATTTTCACAATCCACCGTCTCTTATTAAACACATGCTACAGGCACTCCATTTCAAAAAGTTTAAACCATGGCTTGTTTTCTAAAGAACCAAAGAGGTCCCTAACCCATTGCTTGACCACAGCTACTATTAGAATTTGTTTACAAGTTCATTTACTCCTTTACTTTTAAGAACCTTCATAGATTTATTCATTAAAGCCTTAGAATTATATAAACTCTATTTTAGCTAAACTACCTTCTGAGAATTTATTTATTTATTTATTTTTTTGTTTTTTCTCCGGTACTGGGAACCGAACTCATGACCTTGCGCTTGCCAGGCAGGTGCTTTGCTGCTGAGCTAAATCCCCAGCCCCCTGAGAATTTATTTTAAAAGTCCTCTATTTATTCATCTCTCTCACAAACACACACACTGAATTTTCCCTGTTGTGAACATAAAATCCAGCTTCCTTTCTGTGTTACGGTGATGTAGTAAAATGATAGTAAATTCTGAATATCTAGCTTAACAAGAAATTCCTACTATTATTAGATCCACACTGAATGACCATCCATCCTATTAGAAATGTAATGTTCATTCTTAAAATTTAGCTATTTATTTAACGGTAGAAAGAATAATGTTGAAAATTATAGCCTTACTCATACTGCCTTATATTTGTAGTCTTTTATGGTTCATACCAAAAATATTTTTCACAAAGTATTTACTAACTAGATATAAACTATAGAAAAACGAGTGATTTTAACAACTGATAAATCATATTTATATATAGCAAACTGGGGAACCATTAAGTGATATGGGGATCTGGTTTGTAGATGTTTCTTCTTTTCTATCAGAGTGTTTTAAATCAGAACTCTTGCTTGGTGTGGTGGTGCATGCCTGTAATCCCAGCACTTGGGAAGCGGAGCCAGGAGGATTGCCACAAGTTCGAGGCCAACCTGGGCTACATAGTGAATTCATGGGTAGCCTGAACTATACAGCGAGACCCTATCTCGAAAAACACAAAGCAAGGGGCTGGGGATTTAGCTCAGTGGCAAAGCGCCTGCCTGGCAAGTGCAAGGTCGTGAGTTCGGTTCCCGGTACCGGAGAAAAACCAAAAGAAAAAAAAAAAGAAAAACACAAAGCAGAACAAAAAATCACAACTCTTCCTATAAATCACCTATTCAGATTTTTTTTAATATGTAAATTTGGGTCAACTATTGTAACTTTGAACGATCTTAAAATATTTCTTACAGGTATTTAATCAGGAAGGAGAGTTTATGTTGAAGTTTGGCTCCAATGGGGAAGGCAACGGGCAGTTTAATGCACCAACAGGCGTAGCAGTGGATTCCAATGGGAACATCATTGTGGCGGACTGGGGAAACAGCAGGATCCAGGTATATTTAAATGCTAGTGAATGTGGTTAGATGGTGAGTAGTATTTGTTAAAGGTGAAGAATTGGCTGTTTCCCAAGCTAGGATGTTTTCCCTTCTCTGTTGGGTAGATCATAAGGCCATAGAAAATCTCACCAACAAAACCAAACTATGGAGATGGAGTAGACAAAAGCAATGTATTACCAGGAGAAAACCCTCTAATTTAGGTTTTCTTTTAACATGGATCACACAGACTCTCAAGGGTTTGTGGATGGAATTAGGATCTGTTGCTATCTCTGCTAATATATAACTGAAAATTATGACTTCTCATAATTATGAACATAGGTAACAACCGCAGACTATGACTTTGTCACCAAGAAAAACCACAGAAATTTTATATCAGATTACAGTTGTTGCAGACATCCCAAGCTATCATTTATGCCCATTACACTACAAAATTACAGTAATTATTAACCACTAAGGAAAAGTAAAATCTCACCTTATTCAAAAAATGATCTCAAAATGGATCACACAGGTTTAAATGTAAAACTAAAAGACTTTTAGGAGATAATGCTGTGAAAGATAAGCTTTTAAAAGATTTTAAGAGGAAAACCTTTGGGACCTAGGGCTTGGTGAAGAGATTTTGTGGCATGATACCAGAACTATATCCCAAAAAGAGAGAAATTAATAAATTGGATTTCATCAAAATTTGTTCTGTGAAAGACTCCATTAAGATAAAAATATAGACAACAGACTGGGAGAAAATATTTACAAGCTACATTTGTGACCAAAGATTTGCCTACGATATGTAAAGACTCTCAGAACTCAACAGTATGAAAACCAAACAATCCAATTAGAAAATGAACAAGAAATATGAAGAGGAGAGATATATACATGAAAAAGTGCTCAATATCATTAGGCATTAGGAAAGCACAGATTAAAGACCATGATGAGCTCCTACTGCGTGCTTGTTTAAATAGCTAAAATTAAAAACATTTATAATACCAAATACTTGTGAGCACTTAGAGAAACTAAGTCTGCCATATATTGCTAGTAGGAATAAAACAGTAAGCCAGCCTTGAAAATACTGCAGTTTGGGAGTTTCTTAAAAAAGTAAACATTAAAAATAAATAAATAAAATAAAATAAAAAAGTAAACATTGCAACCTTACAACCTAGCAATTATAGTCCTGGGCATTTATGATAGAGATAGGAAAATTTGTGCCCACATGGAAGCAGTATATTATTATTTGTAGATGTATTTGTCACAGCCAAAACCTGAAAGCAGTCAACCTTGCCAGCAACTGGTTTATGGCTAAATAAAGTGTAGTGTTTCCATACTGTTAACTACGCAGCACTTAAAAGAAATAGACTGGTGATACACTTACTAAGTTGGGTGCATCTCAGGGCATTCTGCTGAGTGGAATCAGCCACTTTGAAAAGGTCTCGTACCCTATGATTCCATTTAGGTGATGCTGTCAAAGTAACAAAATTATAGAGAAGGAAGATAGTTTGTATTGGGTAGCAAAGGTTATGGGAGGAGGGAGTATGGGGGAACAGGTGTGACCATCACGGATTAGCAAGAGCGGGGGCTTCGTGACAATGTGTCTGTCGGCTGTGAGATGAGGACAGTTGCACAGATACACACGTGCAATAAAGTGACTGCTGTCCTTACATATCTCCAAAGTTAATGTGTGGGGTTTTGTGTGGCAGTGTCATTGTAGAAGGTGTAACCAGCGGGTCAGACTGAGTGAAGGGTAAGAGGACCTCCATCACCTTTGCAACTTCCTGCAAATCTGTAATTACCTCAAAATAAACAGTTAATTAAGAACTAATAAGGTTGGGGCTGGGGATTTAGCTCAGCGGCAAAAGCGCCTGCCTGGCAAGCGCAAGGTCGTGAGTTCGGTTCCCGGTACCGGAGAAAAACCAAAAAAAAAAAAAAAAAAAAAAAAAAGAACTAATAAGGTGATGATGAATTTGTTTTCATCATTTAGGAATAATGGTATCATGGATGGCATTTGGGATTCTGGTTGAATATTAAAAATAATAAAATTGGTTGCATTCTAGGGTGGGGAGAAGCATTACAGTGCAATTCTGAGATGGGATCTGTAGGCTTTGCCAGGCTGCCACAGGGATCCTTGCTGCGTGAATGTTTCAATTTTACACAGCCACGAGTGATGGTGCACACCTGTGACCCAGCACTCTGGGAGACTGAGGCAGGAGAATCACAACTTTGAGCCCAGCCTGGGCACCTTAGTGAGTTAGCAAGACCTTGTCTCAAAATAAAGAATCAGAAGGGCCGGGGATGTAGCTCCGTGTGAAGACCCTGGGTTCAGCCCCCAGCACTCCCCACCCGTTGAAGATTTATACTTTATATGGAGAGCAGGTCTTTTAAATCCCCAGATGGAAGAAGGACTCTTCACTCCCGTTTCTGTATGCTCACACCTGCATGGATGCAACCACGCACTTAGCAGTTGCACCCTTTCCCTCTATGCACCAGGGAACCGCAGGGCACAGGCTAAATCTGGGGGCATTCAGTGTCTCTGTGAGGGCAGCAGCACTCCCCCACTTAAGTCAGATGGAGACTGCTGCTTCTCAGCAGGAGATCTGAAGCTACAGATGCAGCCCAAAAGGCTTTGATTTCACCACCGTATTTACCTTGTTTACTTATCCCAACAGACACGTTCGTTAAAAGAATTCTATGTCTCCCGAGGAGATTTCAAGGGTCTGATGTTGTGAGAAGCCAGAAGCCAGGCAGGGAGCTAAGTTCAAAAGCAGGTCCACAGAGGACCACAGCTGCTAAGCCATGACCGCATACGACCTACCTGGTGATGTTGCCTGTAAAACGCCACGCAGGCCAACAAAAGGGTCAGACGAAAACAGCCGAGCCTTATGAAGCAGGAGAAGTGTACGGTCCTGGAACTGCCCACTTAGTTCATCATAGTAGAAGCTGACAGACCAAAAGGAGACCATTTCGTCTCCAAACACACATGTTGAGCCATGGACTTCTTACAACTTTTTATCTAAAAGTGGAACAAGAAATCTCGATTTTGTCATTGCACATTATGATTCAGGGTCACTCTCCCGTGCTCCAGCTGCTGCTTTTTCTCCCATAAAATTGGGCATGAAAGGAGGGTGAGGCTAGAAGGAAAAGAAGGCTCAGCATGAAAACTAAAGGGCATTCATTCTCCGGGCACCATCCAGGGCCGTGCTCACCCAGGCCCCGTGTGGCCACTGTAGGAAAGAGTGCGACCCGGCAGCGCAGGCGCGTTCTGTGTCGGTGACTCCACACCGGAACTAGAGGTGAGGAAGCCAAGGAAGTGGAGGTAGAGAGAAGGGTTGCGTATATGACCACAGCCTGAGCAAACCTAGGGCGTTACTTACATGCTGTTAAATGAAAAATATTGGCATCGTGGGTTTCTAACACGTTTCAACATATTACAAAACTACTTCTATTATATTCTGACTTCATACTTTTACAGGTTTTTGATGGGAGCGGATCATTTTTGTCCTACATTAACACATCTGCTGATCCACTCTATGGCCCCCAGGGCCTGGCCCTCACTTCAGATGGTCATGTGGTGGTTGCAGACTCTGGAAATCACTGTTTCAAAGTCTACCGATACTTACAGTAACAGCCTCCAGCTGGACACCCCTTCTAAAGGTCTTGCACTATAAACTGGAATGGATTTCTTGACGTGGGACCAGATTATGAACCAGACTTTTCATGCTAGAAGGAATCTTCGGTGAACTTTCCAAGGTTATTTCTGAATGTAGCAATTTATTTAAAAACTGCTTATCCAGTTTCCAGAATTCATCTTTAGGATTTAAACAAACAAACAAACAAAAAACATCTCTTCTGAATCTCTGAAAGCTGCGAAGTTTTACACCTGTGAACTATGGCTTATAGGACAGGGATTTATGTAGTTCAACTAATTTTGCAAAACAAACAGTAAAAAAAAAGGCCTAGCATATGTAAAGATACTTGTTAATCCTGTGAATGGGCACCTTTGTGCAGAGCTTCCAAAAACAAAATCTGTTGTGGTTATATACTTTTTTAAACCTAGGTCACAAGACCCAGGGAATCTTCTAACCTCATTTTTGCAGTACGTATTACTCTTGTGACATTTTTGGGTTATCAGTGACTGCATAGGAATTACTTTAAGGCTGTCTTGCAAAATCCTTTTAGCTCTGATCAGCGGGCCTCTCAAGTTGAGCATTTAAGAATCAATGCAAATTTCCTAACCTTTCAGGGTTAGATCAAAGATCTCTTTGTTTGTTCTTTTCACCTCTTTCCTGTTCACCTTATTATCAGGAAACAAAGTCCATTTTCAGGGAAACCTGAAATTCCTGATGCTTTGAAAATTATATTACAAAAGCAATGCTACCTTGTGTTGGATGAAAAGCTCCGGATTAACGTACTGGAATGTTACTGAGAAAAAGCCCATTTGATGTGCCATGTGTTCACGTGTCTTTCTTCTCCCACTTCATGAAAGCTAAAGCTTTACCTCCTGCAGAATGTCAGCACATGTAGTAGGACACCAGTATCCTAGGACAGAGAGCCATAAGGAGCCCTTTGGAGGACTGATGGTGTCAACCAAAGGCATGTGATTGATTAATGATTTCCCCTTAGAGAACAAGTGTTACCAAAGTTCTGTTATCTCAAGAGCATTACAGGTAAGGGCATGTTACGGTTATTTATCATTGTTTAATGAATAGTAGAGGCATTAAGGGACTATGTATACATGATTAGGGTAAGATAGAATGTATAATATATACGTACATATATAGCTGAATCTTTGGTGTATTGAAATAGGCAGCACGCTGAAAGACAGAAGCATTATCTAGCCCATTCCTTTACCAATGAAGCTTACACCTGTCCTCACGGGGCAAGCCCTAAGGCAGGTTTGATTTTTTTGCCCATTTTCCGGGAACAATGACGGTGGCATAAAATGGCTTTCTGTGCTTTTGAAGGAAGAAAACAAAGGAGAGAAGAAAAAAAAGATGAAAAGTTGAAATACATTTAAGTTAAACTAGTATAAATGTATTTTGAGAACTGTTAAGAGCAATTTGGTCAGTTGTTCACCTGTCACTGATACTATACAATAAGATTCGGTCTATTTCCACTGTTTAATTTTCTACTCAGTTCTACCAAATGCATTGTTGTGTTTGATATTTTCAATAATGACTTGGGATCTTTTTCAGTGAAAGCACCTTAGAACTGTACTATAAGAAAGCATTTCCTGTACCTATTAGTATATGAATGTGATGTTTATTGCTTATTAATTTAAAATGCAGTCATTCTCTGTGTAGAACTTTTTAAAATTTACAAGGGAAGTCTAGCTACTTCCAGTTCTCTGTTAAATTTATGATGCCCAAATCAAGACCTGAAAAATTCTTTTCAGGAAGATTAACATTTAGGTTTAGTAATTTTTTGATTTATGTAGACTTTAAAATATTCAAGCCTGTCGGTGATAAAGTCATAAAATTTACCAATTCTAATTTTTATAATTTAAACTAAGATACGGTTTCCTAAGGTTAGTGAAACAAGTCTTTGAATTTATTTTTTCTCCTTCAATGGCAGTGATTGGACCCAGGGCCGTTCATACATGCTAAGCATGAACTCAACCACAGAGCTATACCTGTAGACCAAGTCTTTGAACTTAAATATCCATCACACTTCCAGGTAGTGGAAATAGAATGATGGATAAACAGACAAAAATTCTTGTCCCCTTGGACTTTACTCTCTGGGGAAGAAATTTCATTTTGCAACTTACTAATATCCTACCTGAAAGATAGGGTAGGTCCTTGATAATTCTTGGACTATTTAAAAGGAAACAATTTTAAACTGGTTAGATTAATTTTAGTGTATTTTCATGAATAAAAATGCATTTCTATGTAGAGTCTCACAGACTTTTTTCTTTTTCTTTGGTACTAGAGATTGAACCTAGATCTCCATATGTGCCAGGCAAGCGCTCTACTCACTGAGCTATATTCTTAGCCCTTGATTTTAAAACTAGTTTACCTAAAGAGGCTTTTTTTCAACATCAAAATGTCTGTGAACTTAAAAATTAACTTATAAACTAATCAGCCATTATATCATATCAGTCTAGATAGCTCAGTAATAGGTTGAACAAAAAGCTATTTTACATGTTTACATGTTATAAATTGGAATACAAGGATAGGTTGACTTTGATCTGTTCCACTCTCTCTTATTAAAACACATGCTATGGGCACTCCAGGAAATACTATATTTTTTTCCCAAAACATATATAATTATGTATGGTATAGATAACATTTCCCACGTGAATACATACGTGCGTTTACTGTATTTCTTGGTAAGCATATTTTTGAGGAAAGTGCTGCTTATAAGATACAAATAGACAAGATTTAGGTGAAGTTTTGTCCCATTCTATAAAATGGTTTCTGGTAAACTGAGAAGGATATTAAAATAAGTGACTTTTTTCTGGGCTACCAGTATTGTTTGATTTCTTTGTCAAGTGTATAGAACCTGTCATATATTCATGATAAGTAGCGCTGAAAAGTACTCATTCAGATTTCTCCTGGGCACTTCTGGCAAAATATTGCCAGTTAGAATTTAAAGGTCAGTAACAAGTATTCTGTCCCGTCACAAACCTCCCCTGCTGGCCATGGGAAGGTAGGGAGTCACGTGACTGTCCAGAAAGAAACACATGAACAAAAAGCCTTCATGACTCTTGGCCATTTTTTTAACGGTATGTAGTATTTTGGTGAAACTTTAGTCCCTATAACTAAACAAGTCCCCAAATTTCCTTATTTTCATTTAGACTGTGACTAGATTGAAGCTAATAAGTAACTCTAGATCCTTGCAACTATTGCACACTTGGTTCCACTACTAAATACAGGGTATGTCCTCACATGGAATGAACTGGAATAGCAGTACACTAGCAAGGATCAAGGAGTCCTTCCACTGAAGGAGGGGTACAAATGCTTTGGTAGTAGTATCTTCTGGGTCATTTTGAGGAACTAGCAAGTCAATGTCAAATAAGCTTGCGAATTACTTCAAATGAGAAAAATGTTTTTCTACATTTGAGCTCTATTCCTTTCTATTAACCAGCTGATGAAAAGGGAGGAGTGTTTAGTTGAAGAATCAAAAAACAAGGCATTGCCAGAGAAGAGGAAATAGAAACTATTGGACCCAAACCTTATCGAATTCCGCTTAAAACAGAAAAAGTAATACTATCGCTTTCTGTGAACGTTGCAGGGTTTTAAACTTTACAATTATTTTAATATTTTTGATAACTAGGAATCTAGTATTGCCATAAAGGAAACTTAAGTGCCCATTAAAGATTTGTTTGATATAAATAAATAATTTTTTGTTTTGTTTTAAATGACAGAAAGCTACAAATCATGATGCTAAGCTTAAAAACTTTTAAAGATGAATTGTGTGGCAGTGATTGTGTGGTCTGTTTGTGGAGACTGTATGAAAGCTATTAACTAATATTCTAGGTTAGATTAATAAATTGGCTGTTGTTCCAATGAATGTACAGCACTTCCACTAATTTTTGAAAGCAACACAGCCTTAAACTCAATTGCTTTTGCTTTATGACATTGGAATGTTCTGTCATCGTCAGAGTGTATTCTTGTAGTAGAATTCTTTATGTCACTCTCAGTTCTATAACTTTGGATATTCTGTATGATTATGAGCATTTTTTGCTTTGTTCGTTTCCTTTTTAGATTTTTACATTCCATCTTTCTAGGTTTGTTTCATACATTTTGTGTATAGAACACTAGGTCTTGTGCTCTCTGACACTGATACTGATATATTCTCATCGTTTGTTCTTTTATGAATCAAAATGCTGACTGCCTATTTAAAGAAGAGAATGAATGCTGTGCATCAAAGTGTTTGTATGTTCGTAGCTACATACGTACCACAGTATTTTGGATGCTTTAGTCTACAATAAAACTTTAATTCTGTCTTGAAACATAGGAGAAACAAGATTCATGTGTATATCTTTACCATGCACAAAATCTCAAATCATTATAATAAAGCTTGTTTTCTCCATTTCCAGGGTGAATGTTTATTTAACAGATGGTTCCCCTGAGTGAAGGGGTTTGTAGGAATGTTCTAGAATATGCGGGAGATAGTAAGCAATACCTCAACCAGACTGTTTATACGAGTGAGAAGAAGCAGGCCGGGGATACAGCTCAATGGCACAAGTGCCTGCCTGGCAAGGTCAAGGTCCTGAGTTCAATTCCTGCTACAAAAAAAATTCAATCTAAACTAGTGAGAAAAAGCTCAGTAAAATTGTTATGTTGCTAGTCATCTGGTAGCCTTTAGAATGTACTGTGTCTTAAACAGGAATTTGGAAAGCCCTATGTCTTGGTTACTTGTCTCTCGTTGCTGAGACAAAATACCCAATGCCCAAAATTAAGGAAGGAAAGGTTTATTTAACTCACGGTTTGTGGAGGTTTCAGTCCATACTTGGCTGGCTCCAAAGCAGGGTGGCACATGGCAGAGGGCAAACAGTTCATGGCTGCGGAAGACAGCAAAAGCAACAAGAACATCAAGAGTTTACATTATAGGCAAACTACCCACCCCAGGGCAGGTGTAGCACTCACACCCATGAATCAATCATAAATTCAAGAGGCCCGCCCCATGAGTGCATGAGGCTTTGGGGGGACATACAAGCACAAAGCATAACACCCTAACACATGTACAGCGTGTATTTTTAGAAAGTTATGAAAATAGATTTTAAAAACTCAGTGTTCTTATAATCAAGAGGGACCTCACTACCAACATTATCTTTAGCCCCAAGAATTTAATTACATAAATTCATTACAATAAAAAATTCTGTTTTTTTCAAGCTGTGGGTCACACGTTTCAAACAGTACTTCAGCCATCCAGGAGAACACATCTGTCCAATCCTCTGGCCGTTCAGTCTCTGGAAGAGCCCGCAGGGAAATTTACATATGTCATATGTTTTCAGAGAAGCTAGTTTCCACAGCCTTTCTCAAATTCAAGTAAACATTTCTTAAACATATCTCTACTCACAATGTCAAAGTGGCCATTTTAGATGCCCCGTCCACAGGCCAGTATCTTTCCCACAATTTTGACTGGTGTGTGGACTTGTTCCTTTGTATCCCTACAGAGGAATCTTAGCTCTTTGATGACTGTAAACAAGTCGTGGCACAAGTCGTTGGCTTGTTTTGCATGTTTATATATTTGCATGCAGCTTGTTTTCTCCCGATATATTTATAGACTTTTAAATCATTAAGTTTCTGATTTGTATTTGCTGTGATGCGGCAAACCCTAAAATTTATCTTAATTGAACTATAAAGTATCCTTTATGAATAATGAAGGGTTTCTTTACTTGTTAGAGAGCTTAAAAACATCCAGGATAGATTAGAACTCTGAAGAAGATGATCTAAGTTAGTCTTAAAGAGAAAAGATGAAACAACTGAAATTTTCAAAGACCAAGCATAATACCAGTGATCACTAACTGTGAACATTAATATTATTGAATCATACTTCAATTCACTTACTCAACCCAAGCAGGTACCTTTGCTACTGTGGGTTCTTTGGAGCTTTTCAGACTCAGAGAGTGTTGCACATCACAGGCCATTTGGCCTATGTATTAATATAACATATCTCAGTTGACCCATTGGGAACACATTCCACATAAAGCTGGAAACATCCCTTTCCAGAGCAAAGGAAGCAAAGCTGCAGATTGTTGCTGGCTAAGCTGGGAGGCCTGCAGGGCAAATCAACATTCAGGCCTCCATCAAGCTACTGCCCTTCTTTCATTGCTGTGGTCCCTGAACAACCGTGAGCACCTGTGATACACCAGACTTTCAGGTAAGCATAAGCCACACAGTGATGAATATTGAAGCCTGTACCATCCAGTGGCTTACAGTGCAGTGAAACAGACCAGATACATGGGGGGGGGGGGCGTTGTTGTTTGTTTATTTTTGAGACAGAGTTTCACTATGCAGTTCAGGCTGGCCTCGAACTCACTTTGTAGCCCAGCCTGAGCTTGAACTCCCAGCAGTCCTGCCTCAGCCTCCCGAGTGCTGGGATTACAGGCATGTGCCACCACACCCGGCTCAGACCCGTTACTTGGAATACTACGAGCTACTTTGCTATGAGTGCATTAACAAGGATTTATTGGCACAATATGTTCCATTATTTTTCGAGCGAGTAGGGAATAACAGTAAACAAGGAAGTCCCTGTTAGCACAGAATTTTGCTCTACTGGGATGAGACCAATACGGTAAAGAGTAAAGACAGCTGCACAGTGTATGCGGCCTGGTGCAAGAAACACGGAAAGTCTTTTGCCTTCTCTGGTCCCTCTCGTACCACTTGTGAGGTGGGGCTGGGAGACAGGGATCCTGGAGGCGACAACTGAACTGTCTAAAGAATAAGAGTGAGCCACGTGAGGACCTGTATCCCTGATGGGGCACAAGACACAAGGTAATCTCGGGACAGAGTAAGACGAGACCGTCCGCAGATCTCATAGCTACGTCACCAGGGCAGTTATTTTTCCTTTCTTTAAACTGACATGCAGGGGCTGGGGATTTAGCTCAGCGGCACAGCGCCTGCCTGGCAAGCGCCACTTGAGTTCGATTCCTGGTACTGGAAGAAAAACAAAAAACAACAACAAAAAATAAATAAACTGACACGCAACATCTACTTTAGCCATACGATGGCCAATCCATGAAAAATACTTAATACTATGCGAAGTTCTTTATCTCGTACATAGTAAGCATATATTAATTGGTTACCCATTTGCTACTTTAGAATTCTCCCCTGTGCACTCTGGCAAAAACTGACTGGAACTCAGCGCCCTCTCCTGCTTTTATAAGAAGCAACAAGGACGACAAATACCACCTGAGATGCCACTGTTTATGGTTTTGGTGAAATTGTTACACTTCAAAGCGGTGCAATATGGTTGACATCTCAGTGGAAACTGTTAGCGCGTTTCAGGGGAGGGGACCAGGGCTTTCCCTCCGAATCCGCAGCTATCAGGAGGCAGTGTATTTTTGACCCTTTTGGTTTTAAAAATCATTTTGTTTACTTAGAAAAAATAAACCTACGGGAAAAGCAAGCATAGGACGGCTTTTTAAAGCTGGAAACGCAGCGGATCGGAGCTGAACAGAAGCAGGGGTGCTAAAGAGAGAGGGCAGTGGCTTCGCTCCGGACGACAAGTCCGGGTAGGCCGAGGCAGCGCTTTCTCCTCCTGCAGCCAAGCCTTCTATTTTTTAACCTAAACTCAGGTCAGACAGCCACGGCGTCAAGGAAACTAGTGTAAAAAGGAGGGTCAAATTTTCCTTCTGAGAAAGTGACAACACAGAACGGGAGCCGCCCCGGGAGCAGGCGCACCAGACTGCCCGTAGGCCCCGCCCCCACTCGGGCCGTGCCCCCCCCCGCCAATCCGGGCCCGGGCCAGACACAGACCCCGCCCCTCTACCCGGGCTCCGCCCCCTTCCCCCATCCGGGCCCAGGATCGGCCCTCCGCCCACGGCCCAGTCCAGGCCCCGCCCTTCGCCCGGGCTCCGCCCTCCGCCCTATCCAGGCCCCGCCCCTCCGCTCGGCGCAGCCGCGGGGTGTCGCTGCGCGCTGTCGGAAGGGGGTCAGTCAGCTGGCGCGCCGCTCCCGTCGCTGCTCCGCCCCGAGCGATTGGCGCCAAAATTGAACGCGCGCCTCGCCCACGCAGGCCTCGTCCCCGTCCCGGTCCCCGGAAGGCCGTCCGCCCGCGCCATGGTAAGAGCA